GATCTGTAAACACTTGCAAGAGAATAATCTGGGGCAGTTGTTAAAAATATATACACCTAAATATAGATATATATAGACACCTGGGTCCTACTTTAGAAATCTGAAGCACCCCAGGGGATTCTTATGCACATTAAAAGTTTGAGAGTCACTGCTCTAGGACCATCTCTGATCATATCTAAGAGACTCCAACACAGAATGAAATTTGGACACAGAATGAGATTAATTACTTTTGCTGCTAGTTTGACTTTGGCTTTTTGCTTTGATTACAATAACTAGGATTCTACCTTATTTTCCTATATCTGAGGGCACTAGTCCATCCAAGACCATGACCCTCCCATGGTCTTGGTAACCATCCACTTGCAGACTACGCAGAAACTGGAATCTGTCCTTTAACTCCTTAGTGTCTGTCTATGGCCTTATTGTGGCCTAGCTGCCTAAACACCTGACTTTTCTTGCTTTGTGTGCTTTATGAAAACACTTTAATCTCCTGTTTTATGCCTCTCTTATATATCACATGGACTATACTTATTGGTGTTCATTGTCCAGTCTTTTAGCTAATGCTTTTTGTCTGCTATATTAACTGTCTCCCAGGGCAACTGTCCCTTTGGTCTCTATTTCTATACGTCTGTTTTTGTTTTGTTCTATTTGTTGGTTGGTTTTATTTTTTCAGATTCCACATATAAGTGAAACTATATAGTATTTTACTTATTTCACTTAGCATAATACTCTCTAGGTCCATCCATGTTGGTAAGATTTCATTCTTTTTTATTGCTACATAATATTCCTGTGTGTGTGTGTGTGTGTGTGTGTGTGTGTGTGTGTGTGTGTGTGCAATCATTCCCATGGACCCCTCCAGTCTGCTCTATGCCTATTATAATGAACGGACTTGCTTAGTCACATCTAGAGATGTGAAAGAAACAACTAGCCAAAGGGTGAGAAAACAGACATGGCAGCCAGTGGTTTCAAAAATTGCTACAGTAGCCAAAGAAAATGACTGGGAAAAGAAGAATCATGGAAAGCTAAAAAAAATAAATAAATAAAAAGTCCTTGAGAATGGGAATAGGAGGCGAGGTAAAATGAAGTAAAAAACATGTTTTAATTCTAATCACTTGTTTTTATTTTTATAGAATAACCTATTTTAAAAGGTCAACAAAACAATGATTATTTAACCTGGAGAGAAGATTAAAGTGACCAAAATAAAAATAGTACTGGACTAGTAGAACTCAGAAGACTTGGATTTATCCTGGCCTCTCTACCACTACTATATTTATGATCTAGATTAAGTCTCTTAACTTCTATGTGCCTCGGTCCCTAAATGGGTATAATAAATCATGCCATGTGTACCTAAGATTATTTTGATAATTAAACCAGATCATCTTTATTAAAGAGTTTTGAAACTATAAATACTATATAAATATGAGGTTACTATATAAATTATATATAGCTATATAAATTGCTATTATATAAAGATAATAACACATCCACAAAGGACACAAAGTGGCAATTTTATTTTTTTAATTTAAGTATAGTTGGTATACAATATTATATTAATTATATTAGTTTCATGTATACAATATAGTGATTCAACACTTTTATACCTTATAATGTGATCATACCACTAATTTTTGTAATCATCCATCACCGTGCCAACTTATCGCAATATTATTAACTATATTCCCCTTCAGCTTTTTTTATCCTTCCATCCACCTCCCCTCTGGCAACCGTCCCTTTGGTCTCTATTTCTATAAGTCTATTTTTGTTTTGTTCTATTTGTTGGTTGGTTTTATTTTTTCAGATTCCACATATAAGTGAAACTATATAGTATTTTACTTATTTCACTTAGCATAATACTCTCTAGGTCCATCCATGTTGGTAAGATTTCATTCTTTTTTATTGCTACATAATATTCCTGTGTGTGTGTGTGTGTGTGTGTGTGTGTGTGTTTCTTTTTCATCTAGTCATTTATTGATGGACACCTAGGTTGCTTCCATATCTTGGCTATTGTAAATAATGCTACAATGAACACGGGGGTGCATATATCTTTTCAAATTAGTTTTCATTTTCTTCAAATAAATACCAGAAATAGAATTGCTGGGTCATATGGTAGAACTATTTTTAAATGAAAGTGCAAACCATATAGAGTAAAAGACATAAACAGGAATTTGTGAAATATATTTCCAAAGAAAATATCAAGAATAGGACCAATATCAGTTAGGGGCAGAATAAAGTAAAATTATCCCAAAATATAGATAAATAATCATGTCAACCTGAATTTGCCCAGGTCAAAACACAAACCTTAAGTGTCTTACCAGAAGAGCTTCTAGATAGAAAAGGGATCATCTGGAGTGACTGGTGACATTTCTCATCCAGAAGTATCTCCTTAAAGCTAAAATAAGAGTGATTTCAAATAGCAAAAGTTTGGGACATTTGTTGCAAGAAACTTAGACTGTATCCAACATGGCCTAAGAGTCAGTCTAGTGCTATGACTTAATTTAACTGGATTAATATGTACATTTTAACATTGAGAAAGCAGTAGTCCTTAGCCAGTGTACAAATGGGCTGATGAGAGTTTCCCACGTAAAGAAAAAAAGGGTTGATTCTTGACTTAAAAAATACTTCCATCTTTTTAAGTTTCAATAAATATTGAAAACCTACTATGTTTTGGATATTGTTCAAGACACTGAGGAATATAAGTGACAACAACAAAGGGGGTTCCATCGTGTAATGGTTAGCACTCTGGACTCTGAAGTGACAACAACTGTCAAAATCTCTGCTATCTGAGCTTATTTTCTAGGAAATATAAGAAAAAGGTGGCCATTAAATTTAATAGATATATAAATCAGTATGTTAAAATTTAATAAAAGCTATGGAAACCAATAGTATAACATTAGGGAGATCAGGAATGTTTGGAGAGTTGCAATTTTAAAATACAGTGGTCAAGGTAGACCTCACTGAGAAGATGACATCTAAGCAAAGACTTGAAGAAGGTGATAGTATGCCTATGGCTACACCTCATTAAGCAACAGGAATTTTTCAGCTCCAATATAATCTTACCGGACAAGCATTGTATAAGCAATCTGTCATTGACCAAAACTTTATGTGGTGCATGATTGTAATCATTCCCTCTCTCAAAAAAGAAATCAAAGTGTTTTTTTTTTAATTGTGTTTTTCCCCTAGCTGGTTTGGCTCAGTGGATAGAGTGTCACCCTACGGATCAAAGGGTCCTAGGTTTGATTCGGGTCAAGGGCACGTACCTTGGTTGCAGGTTCCTCCCCGGCCCAGGCCCTAGTCGGGGCTCATGCAGGAGGCAACTAATCGATGTGTTTCTCTCACATGGATGTTTCTCTCTGTCTTTCCCTCTCTCTTCCACTCTCTCTAAAAATCAATGGAAAAATATCCTTGGGTGAGGATTAACAAAACAAACAAACAAAAAATCATGTTTTCACAAGACTATAAACATGGGAAAATCCAATAAAATGATTTCTTAAATATAGATATATATCTAAAGTATGAGCCAATTTTTCTTTTTCTTTTTTTTCATTTTTCAACAACTATTTTTCAAGTAGCTGCTATGAGCCACACACTGTTCTGAGCACCGGAGAGAGGGCAGTAAACAAGCTAGACATGTTCTTTCTTATACATGCATAGATTAAAGACTGAAATGAAATATATCAAAACGTTACTAGGGAGTACATTTTTTATTATGAATTAAGAAGCTGACATGATGGATTATTTTACTTTCTCCTCTATGTTCAAATAAAGTCCAAAATGTCTAAATATGTTAGAATGATTCCAAAATAAACTATGCCATTTATATTGAACTAATTATTATGGCTCATATGAATATATTTTTTGATAAAGCACAAATTTATACTCATAATATTTTGTGAAATGTATATTGCCTTTTTCAATCATATACTGATTGTTATGACCTACAACATTTAATAAAGTTGAATAACACCATGTCCCTTTCTATAAATGCAAAAGCTAAGAAACAGACAGTTAATTAATTTGCCACACTAGAAAGAAAAAGTGTTTAAATTCTAAATAATAATAATGTATATGAAAGTATCTTATACAGTGCCTGGATCAAGGAAGGTTGCAGATTCTGAATGTCATGTACCTTAGGGGTACATTGTCAGGGGGAAAAAAAAAAACACAAAGACCTGGGATTAAAAGAGAATTTCAAAATCCCCCCAGCCCCCTGGACCAAATCCAGCTTCAATTACACAAGGGTTGTTTGGAGACAATAGAGAGGAAGAAATATGAGGGTTCCTTTGATCACCAAAAGATGATCTTTTTGCTTTAAAAGAGAATGTTCCTATACTCTGTCTGGTTGTAAACACATACACAAACACACACCCCACAACCGTTTTAATATTGATATGGAAGGGAAATAGAAGTCACTTATTTTGTTGAAATATAAGTATTTCAAACCCAGAAAGGGTGATTTGGTTGTGAGGGTTTTTAAGAAATAGCACCGGATCCAATCCTTTTCTATCACCTCCTCTGTAATACAAAACCCCCCAATAGCTCTTAAAATTGTGGCATTTTCTTATGTACAGAGAGAAAAATTTGTGTTGCTATTGCAGCAACATCTAGACAGTTTCCTGTAAACTTTCTGTGATGGAAGTCATGAATTTATGATAAAACCCTGTAGAGTGGTGAAACAAATTTCTTTCATATTTATCATTCATTTTACTCACTGTGCATTTGAAGGAAAACCTTTTAAGAACACCAATAATGTGAGAAAGCTACAACAACTAAATTTATTGTTAAGTATCACATCATTGGTCCTCCCGGGAGTTCAGGAAGAAAGCTTAAATCACATTTCCTAACACATTGGAGAGCTTCCCAGAGATGTGATGGCCCACAGAGGCAAACCATCCAAAGCACACTGGAATCTCAGAGATGGTGACAAAGAAAAATCACTTTGCTTAATAAAAGCAAATTGAAGTTACCCTTTCATTTTTTCTAACAAAGTAAAAACTCTCTCTTACCCCATTTTTCTCCTTTCCTTCCCCCTCCCCCTGCTGTTTCACCTGACTAAACTGTAGGTATTTGTTCCATCACCTGACTTAGGGGCTGGCTAGAAATATTAGAGAAAAAACAATCTACCATTGTTACATGAGACAACAACCTTTCATGTCCTTGAAGCTCACCATGACCTTTCATCTTTCCTATCCCCAATGGTCTCTCCTAACAACTAAAACTACACTCAGTTGGGCTGAATTCCAGATTGTCATAAAAAGAACCCTGTCCTTTCAAAACAAAACCAATTTTTACACCAAGGTGGGGGAGAAACACAAGTCCATTGTTCCCTCACAGATGGAAGTTGGAGTTACTAAGGCAACTGCTCTAATCCTCCTTTTTACCACCTTTTTCACATCACTGGCCTATCAAGTATGCTACCTTTTAACTCATAAGCTCAAAAGCTGGTAGTCTAACTGGCTGCCCTAATTAGCTACGATTTTCACACTACAGACAACATGATGAGCTAATAGAAATTTGCAAAATAATGACGTACCTCCAGCAAATATTCCTCCTCCTGAGGCCCAGTCTTAGAATAACAATAATGAGACCATTATTAGAGAAGGGCATTAAAATGCTGCACTGCTGCTAAACAGAGAACTTGATTGTTCTGGTCTTGTCCATTGAATCAACAACCTATTGTTGTGGACTTGAAAAATAAAGGACTGGAGAATGGGTGCCATGATGATTGGTCTGTGCGGCCATACCGGCACTCTGTAGAATTGTTTTCTTTTGAAACTCTTGATGGACTAGTAGTTTTGTTTAAAAGTAACATAAAAGGCGATTGTCTGGATAAAAAGTCCTATTTATTGAAATCCTTAGAAGCAGTTGCATGGATTTGTTCGTGACCCCTGAGATAAATACATAGTGGCCATAATAACACCATTTGTAGAGAGCCCTGTTACACTGCCTACAGTAACATAAGAGACCGTCTTTTCTAGCTACTGTAGGAAGGAAGGAAGTACTTCTGAGCAGAAAGCAAGGATGATAAAAGGTCAAATACTGGATATAGCTCATTAATCTCTGAAAGGGAGACTTTTAAAAATAATGCTAATTTAAGAATTCTGCACAATTGCTACAGATTCAAGCACATTGTAAAAAGACTCACGGCTCTTCTTATTTTCTCACTTTAGAGCTTCTTTCCTTTGGTTACAAAAAGAGGATTAAAATAAAATGATTATTAAATAACTGAAGCAAGATGTCTCAGGATCACCTAGGGAACAAGAAACTCAAAGGTTTTCAGATAATTATTCTTATGGTCATCCCCAGTCTACAACGAGAAGAATAAAATACTGAAGTTAAAGGTTAACTAGTGTAGGATTCTTAGCAGTAGAAAAGCACTGTTTACAGTGTGTAAAAGTGTCTTCTATATTGAGCCACAGTACATGTTTTCTGTAGTCAGATCAGCATTTTAGTGTTGAATGGTGGTGGTTAGGAGTGTACTTTTCTTTTAGCAAGTATTTGGGGCGGGGGTCTGTTTATTTTTTATCAAGTGAAATCTGCATTATATAAAAATGTATTAAATTGTAAATAAGACCTCTTGCTTCATTCAATCTGTGCTTTGCTTCATTTATCTTCATCTTGTTAGGCTAAATTAATTAACAGTCTCACTGTTGCACACTTTCTCTTTTCATTACATCAAATAAGGGCCTGTATATGGAGAAAGCCCTCACCACGGGAATTCTGCAACTCTACTACTCCGAAGAGTTTCTGTGTATCAGTGTAGCAATATTAACTGGGTACATTCATTTTAAAAGCATTTATTAAATGTACTTTTCATTGTTAAAAACCAATTGCCGAAATTCCTTACATAATATCAACAGAAAACCATTTTTTTAAAAAAAAACTAAACTAGAAACTGCAATAGACTTTTAAAAGAAAGAAAAAAATCAACTGTATGTCCACAACCAGGTTTTACTATCACTGTCACCCAAAATAAGAAGGAACACATGCAAATTTGGCAGGTATGTTTTCACAAGATACAACACAAGACAGCATAAAAGGTTTAAAAGACACACCCCAAACTGTTCCGCTCCCTGCTTTGGAATGTCTAGCATGTGATAAATTTGATGATTAGAATTTCATTGGTAAAGCCCATTATTTTAAATCTATAAGAGTGAAATGTGTTAAACTCTTTTGTAAGTTTTCTTTCAACCTGGAACACTGTGGCATCTGGAACTATGCAAATGAACAAAACAGTAAAGCCCTTTTTAAGTCTTTCCCTGATCAACCAGTGCTTCTTTCTCCAATCACAGCTTTGTGCGCGATATCTTTCTGCTAGCATTTCTTATTTAATTAAAACAGACACTGACAGAAGGACATGGATTAGTACTGTAATGATGCATTTACTTAGATTAATCGGAGGCTCCTTTTAGAGTAATGGCTTAAACAAAGAACAAAAGGAAATTGTTATGAAACAGCCTTTTATCCCAGGCAAAGGTCACATTATGAGGTTTTTAATTTTGTCAGCTTCTGTTATACTCTGCCTTGCTAGTGGAACATGAGAAGTGCTTTTACCCCCAATAAAGCCAGTTATTATAAAAACAGCCATTAAAGCTGCAAATTAAAATGTCTGATTTTAAAACCGGTTACTTAGCTTTCAGAATCCTCTAATTAGCATGTTGTGCATTGTTGTGAGGAAAAGAAGACTAAAATGCTAATGACCTACCGCCAGGTGACCACACTGCTGTGCAAAATAACAAGGACCTTTCCAAGTAATATGATGAATTAACTGAGTACAGGTCCCCCAACCAGCACCCCTTCTCAGAGCACAGCTCCAGATGAATAACTGCTAAGATGTGTTCGGTGGAGGGGGCTCTGATTCTCAGCCTGCTACTTCTTATATATTTACTAAAAAGCCGACTTCTTTCTACCACAAAAGAAAGTGAATGAAATAGCAATGCTATAGAGAGAGTCTGAAAGTAGAAAAGACAACACTCATTTGATTTCAAAGCACAAAGAAAGAATTAAAGAATCATACCCCTAAACAAAACTACCTCTTTGCCTCTTTTCACTCAACCTTTTATTAATAAGTTGAACTTGCAGAGTATAAATAGGGTTAAGATTTGAAAGCTCGGTCTTCGTTCACAACATTCATTTTTACACCTCATTGTCTTTAAATGGAACAAAATGAATCTAGTTTCCCTTTTGCCAGCCTCGTTTTTCCCATTTTACTGACTCCACTCACCTCTACCCCTCCCTCGTCAAAATTTGCTCTTGACAAAGAATATATTGGCATTTGTGTTTATTACCATATGAATTTAACTCAACTACTTGCATTTTCTGCCTTATCTTTCTTTATGGACTGAACTATTGTGTGCCTAGTAATGCTAACATACATTAGTGGAATGTATAGACTAAGTGGAAGCATCGCCAGAGTTTCTGAAATCAACCCACACAAAAAAAACATGCTTCATTTTAAATCAAGTCTCACACAAGTATCACTGAGTGGCTGGCTCTAGGATTTTCTTGAAATCAATGCAAAACATATATTGTCAGTAGAACAGCAAAAAATCACTCAGGATCCTCTGTGACATTTGCCTAGTTGAATTTTTTTTTTTTCCTAAGGAGTTATTAGAGACTGTTTCCATTATCTATGGATAGAAGAATGCTGCAGGTTCCACCACCCCAAAACTCAGTGGCTTAAAACAATAAGCATTTATTTGCAGCTGGGCATTTCTTCTGGTTTTAGCTGAGCCCACCAACATGTCTTGTGGTTGGCTGACCAATTTGGGTTGATCTAGAATGGCCTGGCTGGGACGACGGGAGTAATTCAGCTCTGCTCCATAAGTCTCGTCCTCCATCAGACTAGCCCAGGTTTGTTCTCATAGTGACAGAAAAGGGCAAGAGTGTGAACGGAAATGCACACGTGCTTCTACAAGCCTCTCCGTGTGTCAGCCACATTTGCTAACATCCCATTGACCAAAGCAAGTTAAATGACAGGTCTGAGTCAAGAGGTGAGACAGAATGTCCTTCCCAGAATGGAAGGGCACTGGAAAGTTTCATGGTACACGTTGTGGATGCAAGAAAGGATCAAAAAGAATTGGGACCTCTAAAGTGAATCAATTTTAGCAAAGAAGGCAAAGTCATTTTGATGATTCCCAAAGTTCTTCAGCAGAAGTTTCTGTTTTGTTTCATTTTAACTAATGTAGTCTAGATAGCTACTCAAAATTGATCTATTTTATTTTTGTAAGAGAAAAGAACTCTTTAAAAAACAATTAACAACCCCATCCCACCTTATAGCCATTGATTTCCAATTTAAAAACTGTAACTATAAAGATAATTCTAAAATATGGTCTATGCAAGTTCACCATTTATTTTTGTCTACTGACTAGTTGTGAATCAGTGTTTCCTTGGTAAAAGATGTCAAAACTACAAACTGTTGTGTCTCAAAAACCTCACCTTCCACCCAGAGAAGCAACTAAATTTGAGGAAATGTTAGATCCACAATTTTATTTTTCAGTGTATCTCAGATTGTTGACAGTTCCATTCTACAGAATACCAACAAACAGTAAATCACGGTCTTTCACCAGAATGGATATAGCCACAATAGCAATGTTCAAACAAATTTTTTTTTAAATCTGAGCCTTTATCACTCATATCCCGATTGTTCTTCTAATATCTCTATAAAAAAGAAAACAAAAAATACCATTGCACTCACCATGGCTGGGTGACTAAGTTGGTTGGAGTGTCATCCCATACAACAAATGGTTGTGGTTTCAGTTACTAGGTTAAGGGTTTGATCCCCAGTTGCGGTGCATACAGGAGACAGACTCTCTCTCTCTTCTCTCTTCTCTCTCTCTCTCTCTCTCTCTCTCTCTTCCCCCCTCTCTCTAAAATCAATAAACATATTCTTGGGTGAGGATGTAAAAAAAATACCTTTGGTTTCACAGGACTGGCTATATGAGGGTGTCCTGGAATAAGATGATAAGCTAATTTTAAACTCTACAAATTCTGTTTCTCACCATATGAAGCTGACGATCACTGAGGAAAGTATTCATGGTGGCTGCAAGACTTTCCCAGAGTTAATCTGGCGAAGTCCTACATATAGTTTTAGGGAGATACCTAGAGCCAGTTGCCAGTCTTTCCACACAGATACCAGCAGGAGTAGGAGTGATTACTGGGCAGAATTCCTGAACTCTGTTGCAAGGGAAATACTATCCTATGTAGCACC